ACAATCAAAATTTACCAATGTGCTGCATATTACATAATATTGAAAAAAATTGAAAAAAAATGCCGACATCGAATTGAATAATCGTGATTTTAGAAGTAAAAACAAATTATCGAATCGAAAAAATTAGTCAATCAATTAACTCCAATTCGAGAGTCATTAATGTGCAATTTCTATGCCCTTATAGTTCACTTACAATGCATAACACAAACTAAAATCGAATTTAAATAATCGGTAACCGAAATACTATAAGTCTATAAATACTATTAATAACTTAATATCTAAATTTAAAAAAATATATATATTTAGCATTTTTAATATTTGTATTTAATATTTTATATTTTATATCTAAAAATAAATAATATTCTTATAAAAATATATACATGTAAATTATTTTTATATAGTTAGTCGGTTTGATTATTTTGGTTATTTTAAAAAATAATAAACATATTATCTAATATAATTGATATTTTACAAATAAAAATAGATAGTCAACTCGAAATACATGATTTCGAAACTAAATTTTTAGTTCATTTAATTTCGGTCATTATGTGCAATTGTTCTAACATTATAGTTCATTAAAGTGCAATTCGTCTAGCACTGTTGTGCAATCGCGGTCTATTTATTATTTATTATTATAAAAGTATATTTATTATTTTTATATTTTTTTATATATCAAAATTTTACATATTAAAAAATTTAAGACAGTGTACACTTTACTTTATTTATCATTATTATGCATTTATGAGATATTACTATATTCGACATGAAATCTTAAGTTCATTCTGTTTCGGTTATTATGTGCAATTTGTTTAACATTATAGTGCAATATGGTAGACGTTAAAGTGCAATCCATCTAACACTATTGTGCTGTCGCAATTTATTTATTATTTGTTGTTATAAAAAGTATATTTATTATTTTAAATAATTTTTACATATTAAATTTTACGTATTAAAATTTTTAAACATTGTACACTATTGTGCATTTTTAAAGACATTAATGTGTATTTTGTTTTACACTATTGTGCATCCTCTATGATATTTCCAATAGCAGTGGGTTTCATTTAACACTATTGTGCATCTAGTAAGTAAAATATTTTCAATATCAACACTATTATTCATTTTGTAGGATATTTCAATATCAATACGTCCTGTGTTTTATAGTTAATGTGTATCAAAACGTTATAATGTGCATTCCATTGGAACTTATTGTGCAATTATCAAACTTTTGTTAATTTATAGATTTGCCCAAGGTGTAAATTGCAATATATTAAAATTACAAAAATTGTAAATAAGTCTTTAGACTTATTTAATTCCCAAATAGAAGCCCCCCTCCCCCAAAGAAAAGAAAAAAAAAAAAAAAAATCATTCAGGGCAGCTCTTCCCCAATACCGTGGCCGGCTCCGACAAAACCTCAGCCGCGCAAGGATCTCCACCGTCACATCCCGCTTTAACACGACGGAAAGCCATATCCACGTGATTCACTGCGCGACGCGACAACCTTAATTTGTAGTTGCGGTGGCAGTACCGCAGAAGTGTCGGAGCGGCCGCTGGCTGCGGCGATGGGCTGCTATGTCCGCTGCTAGTGATCGATTATAGGCTTGAATCAGCCTTCTTCACATCATAGACAAAGATGACGGTGGATTTTTTCGAGCACGAGCAGAAAATTGAAGGCTCGAATTTTTTAAAAGGGCAGGGGCAGTGGTGGCAGGGCAGGGGACTGCAACGACAGTGGCACCGGGAGAAGGGCGGAGGAGCAGGATCGGTGGCGGCAGCGGCGATAGATTTTCGAGATGCGGGGTTTGATATGTGTGAATCGCCATTAAAGTGTGTGTGTGTGTGTTTCAGAGGAAAAAATGGGGAGAGAGTGATGTAGTGGGTCTTTTGGCTGGGAAATGTCTAGTATACCCTTTATTAGTGTATACATTTGTTTTATTTTGTGCCGTTGGATTGTTAGATCTTATGGTTCTGATGCATTCTTATTTATTTTTTTTGGTACAGGGACCTTCCGGTTTCCGGATCCACAGGGGAACCGACTAATCTGGAATCGAGCCGGGTAGGACCACAAGGGTGACAAAGCTCTCCCTCAAGAGTTTTAACACTGCTGCATTCCCAGGGCTCGAACTCGAGACCACTGGTTAAGCTGGAAGAGACCCAAGCCATCTCATTCAAGCACTCTTGGGTGCATTCTTATTTCTTTCATTGAGTATCATTCTCACCGGAGCGCGACCCTATATATATATATAGAGGAAATAGCTATTTTCACCCCGTTCTGAAGTCATACTAAGTTTTTCACACCACCCAATAAAAAGCTAAGTTTTTACCCCAAAAAGTACGAAGACATATGCGATGAACTATGCGCTAAATAGGCGACAGGTATGAGCATGGGCGAGAAAATTCTGAGTGAAATTACGCGACTGTTCTACGATGAATATTCGGAGATTCGATGTACGATTCGGTCAATCGCGGTCCGTCGCCCATTAAATAATTATTTTTGTTAGGCGAATGAACTGCGACTATTAGTCAAAAAATTATTCTTCGACACAACTGCGACATGCCAACGTCGCATATTATTCGCGGAATTAGTGCATAATAAGTTTTTTTCGTATTTCTTTTATCTTTCAGTTATGCGAGGCGGTATGCGAATTACCGCATATTGCTAGCATACCCCCTTCGCACTTCTACCCGAAAGTGTATTTTTATTTATTTTTTTATTTCTTTCATCTTTCAGTTATTTCAGTTATGCGATGGGGTATGCGAATAGCCGCATATTACTCGCATACCACCTTCGCACTTCTACTCGAAAGTTTATTTTTTATTTCTTTCATCTTTCTGTTATTTCAGTTATGCAGTGAGGTATCGAATTACCGCATATTGCTCGCATACCCCCTTCGCACTTCTACTCGAAAGTATATTTTTTATTTATTTATTTATTTCTTTCATCTTTCAGTTATTTCAGTTATGCGATGGGGTATGCGAATAGCCGCATATTACTCGCATACCACCTTCGCACTTCTACTCGAAAGTTTATTTTTTATTTCTTTCATCTTTCTGTTATTTCAGTTATGCGATGAGGTATCGAATTACCGCATATTGCTCGCATACCCCCTTCGCACTTCTACTCGAAAGTGTATTTTTCATTTATTTTTTTTTATTTCTTTCATCTTTCAGTTAGTTCAGTTATGCGATGGGGTAT